AAAGCTGGGTTTCAGATATAATCAGAACATTCATATTTAGAGTTACAGGGTCTAGAGTCGCAAATATAAGTCATTATCAACATTTGTGAATTAAACTTTTAGATATTTCATATGATAATGAAATATCTAAAAGAGTATCTGAAAACCACCAATGGCAAATCTCTTCTCAACTTTTTCCAAAACTGTGCAGCCTTGCTACAGATCACTATCAATACTTTCATTAACATTCCCTGGGGGTGTGATGCTAACTGTAGGCATACTCTGTCTGAGGCTTTCTTAGACTTTAATCTGAGCTTTATTTGAGCACAATTTGACCAAAAAAAACCCTAACCTAGCTGGAACTACAACACGTGAGCTGATTTGTGTTGCTAAACAAGTCCGTCTCAAATTACAGTCACGGCTTCATATTCATCACAGGCTCCTGAAAATGTGTTGTTTAAATCCCTTTTGTATTTTTCAGACAATCTTGAAATTTTGTGTCCATGGTAATTGCTGAATATTCCGCCATACACATACATGCACCACCAGCGTGATGTCACTGGAAAGTATCAATGAAAAGGAACTGCACTCCTCCACTTTTTTGGAATTCGTACGGTTTGTCCCATCAGAGCCACCGTAGCTATAAATGACAGAGAAGTAATGAGTGATGAAAAGTGCAAACAGAGAGGGCCGTGGGGACAATGCAGCATAGAAAAGATTTGTCATGCAGAAAATTAATTATTGAAAACATGAGCAAATCATATTATTGTGGGTGTAACTGAGGAAGGAAAAGATAACAGGCTTTTCCATTCAGGGATGTTTGAGGCAAAATATATCGGGGGGAAAAAACTATTGGCTTATTACACTCAAACTGAATATTCATCTCACGAGCTTTGGCAGTGTGTGTTTTGTGTGCCGTTGCAGCAGCATTTTTAAAGCAGCCATATGAAAGCAAATAATCAGGCCTTTGAAGACGGCTTCAAAGCTTAAGAGGCAAAGATCCACTTAAGGACAACACAAGCCTGGGACAAGAGGGTTTGTTCTACCAGTTAATTGTCACGCTCTAAATATACAACCTGTTTGGCTTTGGATGTCAACAAGGACGATCTCCTCACAATACAGGCTATATTAATTTAGGCTCTAAAAAGACAATAGGGTAGGGCTATAGTTCACTAAAGAAATTCTTTGTCCACTAAAGAGATGTCCTGCTGATTTTTTAACCTATTTATTAAAAAGGGGCCATGGCAAAGGCTCTCAAATCTATTACATACATACTGTACATATAACTGACTCTACACTAAGACAACTGCACAGGACACAAAAACAACTATTTAAACAGAAAAAAGTACAACAAAACATTGTATGTATTAAGACAGATGGGATTGCTGTCCCACATAAAACATTACAATCTAAATAAAATGATTGGTTGACATTTTTTTGTATTAGTCAACCAATTAGTAAACCAATTTTTGACTCCATCGACCCTTTAATCCACTAAATGTTGACAGGCCCACTAACCTGGCCCACACCAGAATGATACGTGTAGAAATCTGAATTGAGTTCTAAACATTATCAAGCTAAGATGATTTTGCAGAAAGTGATAGAAAAACACAGAATGTAACTTTTGTTATATCCAGCTGAGAGAAAATCTTCCCTGTCCACAAATGCACAAAGCTCTTACCTTCCCTGTTTTTACTGACTAACAGTTTGCAAGTTAGAAGATACATTTTTGATAGAGATGTTTTTTACCTAAAGCTGGTAATATGATGTACACTGGATGCTATTTCTGTGATTATGATAGACAGTGGCAGAGTGGTTAACATTGTCCAGTTTCAAATGAGTTTGGGGTTTCTCTGGCTCAATGAATTGGGCTGCTCGATTACGGGAAAACATTTGGATCATTTGTCTCATAAATTAAACCGTAATTGTTTGAAACCACTATTTATTTTCTGTTGAAAGTTAAACAGTAGAGGAAGAATAGACTTGTTATAATTTAATTAAAATCCATTGTAGATTAAACAAGTCACTTAGCTCCAGTTTGTGGGGCAGATTGAGAACAAAATTTAATAAATATTTTTTGTCAATTTCATATTTTGTTTAACTTGAAGGCAGCAGTAATGTTAATCATAATTAAAATGTTATACTTTTCACAACCCTATTCATGAATAAGGTGAATTGTGTAAGCCACCAATAATTTTACTGTAAATAGAATCAATTTAAATTTATATTTGAAACACCAAGCAATAATAATGAGTCATGTTTTTATTTTGTCAATTTACAAGAAGTAATCTTTGTTAGTAAACCTTGTGCGAGAGAAAAAAACTCCACTCACTAAATGAAAGATGAACAAGCCTTTTCAGATAAATTCCTGGCAAATCCCACGCCAAATTAAACACATCTCGTTCTCAGCAGCAACAGTGCACCTCATATTATCTTAAGGCTGACGACAGACAGAGGACAAGTACAAAGATAATAGGACATGAAAATCTTAATAAGTCACAATTTCCCAACAGCACAGCAGACACATTACAAGTGTTAATAATATCCACCTCCCCTTCTCCTCGGCACACAAAACTGTTCAGATAAGATCCAAGAGCTATTCAAACTTGTCATGTATTATTGATAATGATAATGTTTGCATCTGCATCAATGGGCTGTTTATTATTCTGGGTCTGTTACGTAAACTGGTAAATATGCCCCCTGAAGTGTGTAGATTACAGAACTTTTACCATATGGCTTATATTGCAAGATCACAGTAGCGGAAAAAGTTATGTGGAAATAATGTGAATTTTTATGCTATTGAACACGCATAGGTCTCTTGCTTTATGCCTAGTGCTTACTAATATCTTTGAAACCTTGAAATCTTTACAGTCCATAGGGGAATATGCGCAAAACACAACAACAAAGACAGAACAACATGTAGCTGTAAGTAATTCTCAGTAAAGTCTTAAATTCATAAAAAGCTAAGAAAGAAGAACTAAAACTAAATTGTTGTTCTAACCTATACACTTTCATCTTAATTTATAAACTTTTTTCTTTAGATATTATACATTTATAGTAAAGTAAGAATGAACGTGAGAATGTGTGTGTGCAGAGGTGGGTAGAGTGTTTAAAAAAAAGTTATTAGTGTGTACCATTATTTTAAAATGTAAAGTAAAATGTACTGTATTACATTTTCTAATTCTAATCTATCTAATTCTATTAATTAGATAGATTTTTCATTCTATTTATTAAGTCCAAAGTCACAGCAATCACAAAAAGACCATTGATTTAACCAAGTAAATTAAAGGGCCCATCTCAAGCAAAATAACTCTTTTCACATTGTATGTTATGCACATATACAAGCACAATTTGGGTTTTGGAACATCCATTACACAATAGTTATGAAATTTTACTGATTTCTTGGAGACAGTCACAGACCAGGAACTGTGAAAGGCCAGCTATTGCTCACCCCCCCCCCCCCCCCCGCCCGTCCAGAGAAAGCACAGGCTCCGCCCTCCAAACGTGACGTAGGCTCTGAGTCGCCCTTCCTCCGCCCATCTAAGGGAGGGAGGGGGAGACAGGCGTGCACCCTGATAGCGGTAGGAATACAATTATTTTATTCATCATGGCGATACAGTGTGTTCAGCCTTATGTGTTGGACCCGGAATCGAACGAGGACTTGGAGGTGCACGAAGCGCAACCACCGCGTCGATATCAGCTTAGCATTACTGATTGGTAAAGTATTAATAAACGCTAGTAGGTTAACTTATTATATCATGTACACTGCAGTGTAGAACAATTAGCTTATGCTGTCGCTTTTGTTTAGGTGTTCATGTGGGAATTGTCAGCTGATGTGGAGTGGAGGCGGGGCGGAGGCGGTGGAGCAGGGGAGAGGGGCGGGTGCGAAGCACCTTCTGCTACGTCAAACGCGTTAGTGTCATCGTTGTAACACCTTTAGTTCGTTGTCACGTGGGAGGGTGGCAGAAATACACTGCAATTCGGCTACATATACAAGGCCCACACATCACTCTTGGATGGTGGAAAGCTCTGAAAAGTAAATTTTGCATGAAATGGACCCTTTAAGTAAGAGTAAAACAGTATTAGGGGAAACTACTATAAGAAAGCGAGTAACTGTGTGGGCGTATCATTTGATTTACAATTTGAAGACAAAACATGAAATAATGCTCAAATTAGAAGCAAAAATAAGAAACAAATTATAAACAACATAATAAAATCATTGCTGAAGGTAATACTGACAATTAGGCTTTTTGTCACTTACAGATTTGCATTGGGAAGAGTGACCATAACTTTTACTCAAGTCTGAGTACCATTAAAAATATGGCTCAGTAAATTGTGCTATAAACCAGATCTATAGGGTAAAATATTAACACCTTCTATATCGTAGGTGGTGTTTATGCTTTGGTTGAAATATATGCTTCTGTTTACCAAAGGAAAGTGTATGATGGAGGATTTCAACCCTCACAGCCTTGAGCTAAGCCCCTGTAAGCTCTGAGTGCACAGCCACAGGTACAGCACTGGATCGAATGGATGAGATGTGTATTCCTGTAAATATCATATTCTACACTGTTTGTATTTAGAGTCTAAGATGCTCACAGAGGCTGGGCTGACCTCAGAAATAGCTGCGTGTAACGTGAGGAACGCTTTGATCATTGTGTCAATTAGCCATGGGTGGATTTGGCTCAACTATCCTGCTGAGAGGTGGTTATCGCTTTCCTCAATACAAACATCAAGAGACAGTGTGAAGAACTAATTACATCCAACTCTGTGCATCATACCTGCTGTTTTATGGGACCATCCAGGGAGAGAGGCATTTAAATGCATTCAAACTCAATGTAAAGTGAGTTGGCCGTGTCCTTTGGCAGGCAGATCAACACAGAGATCATTACAGAGTGCATCACAGCTAAGTCAGCTGGAGCGGCAGGCAGCACATTTACTCCTGATTGCAGCGTCGATGAGACAGTTTTACACACACTAAATGAAAACTTCCCACACTGAAATAGAGCTGTCTCATCACTCACCCTCCTGTACTGGATTCTTGGATGCAACTAAATGGGCCCGGGATCCACGCTTCTCAGACCTCCCAGACTCCGGTGGGTGCTCTGCAAGCAGACAATACTAAATGTCACATCATCTGCATTTTATTAATATAACGCTTTTCAGAACACTCAAAGACGCTTTACAAAACAAATATTAAAAGTCAAAAGAGCAATGTACAAATAATAGAGGAAAGATAAAAACAGTGAATCATATAGAGATAAAGGTTAAAGATTAAAAGCTATTCTAAATGACTGTATTTCAGTTATAGTGCACCAAGTATTATGATTGCGATTAGATTTGAGATGTATGTATAAAAAGTAGGAGCATTAACATGTGAGAGAAGACTGAAATATAACCTGACAAAGGTAACTACAGTTACAAGATTCTTCTATAAAAAGACAAGATATTTTGTTGAATGCAGAGAATATTAATTTACATAAATAACAGCAGCCTTTGACAACTCAATGAACTGAAATTGCGATTTTGATTTGATGGCGATCAGTTGCCTTAATAACACAAAGCATTGTTTCACTGTTCAGATTAGATCCGTTCATTTCTTCCTGATCCATCTCTACTATAACATTACAGGATTTAAAAATATAGTGAGAAATATTCCGTCTCACATTACATATTCCTTAGCAAAACTAAACCCAGCCAGGAGGAGACAGAGAATGCAGTCAGATAAAATTCATCTTTTCATGTGACTTGGCCTTGCAGTCATGCAGCTCAACTGTAAGTCTCCTGACAAACAAATATGATAAAAAGTCTGAGAAGGTGAATGTTAAACTATACAGCATTAGTAGAAGAGACAATAAATAAGTCCAGATATATTGTAAAAACAGCTCATAAGGGGCGACAGTAGCTCAGTTGGTAAGAGCGTTTTCCACTAATCGGAAGGTTGGTGGTTTAAATCCCGCTCTCGGCATAAACATCATTGGTTGAGTGGTCATATCCACTGACCCACAGGTTGGTGGTGAGATTACAGTTCCCACAGATGAATGCTGTCCTTGGGCAAGACACTTAACTCACGTTGCCCCCAGTACTGGTGTGTGAATTTGTGAGTGGTTCCTTGAATGTAAAGTGCTTTGAGTGCCTTGAAGGTGGAAAAGCACTATATAAAAATGTGACCATTTACCATAAGAGTCCAACTGCATAAAGTAGTGCTGCTAGTAGGCTAGTTGTTGTTAGCTTTATCACTCTGGTCTCTGGTAATTAGGAAGCATAGCTCTGAACCACTGCAAAGTGTTTAAAATAAACTAGTCCTGTTTTTCTTGTTTTTAAGGCAGTAGGTACAATGCCTTTAAAATAACAAATGTTCACTCTGTAGAGAAGGTTTAAGCGGTGGTCATCAGGACACTGTTTTTATAATCAAGAGGTTTTGGCTCCAATCCAGAGGCCATTTTCAATTTGATGGCACTAGCTTGAAGCACTGGGATTTACCCTACTCCGAGTTAACTAAGTTCAGCCCCAAAGGGAGGTGTTTTAGAGTGAAACTTCCTGTCATTGTTCATTAGCTAACATCATTATGGGTTGTTCTGAATAACAGCCCAAAGTGATGCGAAAACGGTGTCCAGATCACCACCGTTGATCCCTTCTCTACAATGAATTACACCATCTCATGCTGCAACACTGTACAAAATATGCAACAGAGTCCAGATTTGGATGAAGATGTGAATTCAACATAAATAAAATAAATGGATATTAAAAAAAAAAAAAAAAAAATAGAAATGCAAACATCCAGAGCCAGGATTATATTGGGTATAATATAGAAGTACAGTCAGAAATAAAAGTGACTAACAAATAACACTAAATAAACAAGTGTTAATTAGTGGTAATATAAGTTCTGCATAGATCTTCCTCTGGCTCCTCTGGGCCTGCTGCGTGTGTGCCTAGCTTCTTCACATGTTAGCATTCAGCCGGAGGGCGTGACTCTGATGGGAAGCTGCCTCTGTTCTGTCTGCTCACATCTTCTGAAGTTTATTTATGCTAATTTACAATCATCGTCAGAGGCTCCGCTGGCTGCGGGGCATGAGGCTCAAATCAAACCACACACACACAGAGGAATTCATTGCATGTGATCTGCTGTAGTGTTTGTGTACTTGAGAAAAGGCTTCGTTTAGCAGTGTCCACACATTACACAGCATCGATTCACAGCTTTCTCTCCACGTCTCTGTTGGTTTTGGATAAGCCTTTGTAAACTGGGACCACACAGCAGTAAAAACTCACTCTCCTCTGCTCGCTCTGTCAATTTTTAAATAACCTTTCTGCCTGTTCTTTATTAACTCAAAAAACACTTATTTTCTAGAACTGATCAAGCATAACATTAGAGCACTGACTGGTAAGGTAAAAACACATGCAATCATGACATGTTTTCGCAGGGGGCTGGGTGGTGATGGTGGTGGTGGTGGTGGGGTAGCACAATCAGACAGTTTTCTCACTATTCAGTTCAACACATTGTAAAGATATGGATAAAATACCTGTACAAATTGATTGACCTAAAATGCTGAATTGCTGGAATAAACACTTCACTTAAAAAAACAACAACATTGTATTATTGTATTATTAAAGTATTATTATATCTATTTCATATCCTTGCAATTGTTAAAGACATATCCAAAGTCATTCAAGAAATAAGTAGCTGCTAATGCTGGTTCATAAGGAAAGACATCAGAGCACATTACAGTTTTGTTTGATGTTACCTTCAGTTAGTAAGTATTCATTTTATGCCTGATATTAAAAACCTTTATGCTTATGATGGATCTATGCATTTGCACTTATGTTAATGTGGTACAAATCCAACCTGTGTGGAAGAAAATGAGAGAGAGTCAAGCTGGTTTATTATGTGGCCAACAAAGCGTTCCACGTGGCAAACATTGTTTACAGAAAGCTGCGGGAGCTAGCATGACTAGAGCCCTGAGCATCAACTGCATTATTTATTCTCAGAATCACGGTCATTTCAAAACACGGGCCTGAGGTGTCCAATGTGGTCTGCTGTCTTTTAGTGTCAAATGGTTTTAGATAAAAGCAAAACAGATAAAAACATTGTAGTGTGTGTTGAATGGATAAAGAAGCAGAGGTAGGGACAGTAAGTAAGAGAGGTCATTCAGGGTCGTCAGATTTTCAGAAAGAAATGACCACAACCTTGGAAAAGCAAATGCCCCCAGTCCTACAAAGATAAAAAGAAGCAACACATAGAACTCATGTGACTTTGTTCAACAAGTGCTAGTGGATATATATATATATATATTTCTCTAGCTTCCCGTGTTCCTTTTTCCTGATATTACCATCGCTTGGTATTGCGATGTCCACCACCACGGCTGTGCTCTGTTTCTTATCCACCACCACTATGTCTGGTTGGTTCGCCATCACCATTCTGTCAGTCTGTATCTGGAAGTCCCACAGGATCTTGGCTCGGTCATTCTCCACAACCTTTGGAGGTGTTTCCCACCTTGATCCTGGGGTTTCCAGCCCGTACTCTGCACAGATGTTTCTGTACACTATGCCCGCCACTTGGTTATGTCGCTCCATGTATGCTTTCCCTGCCAGCATCTTACACCCTGCAGTTATGTGCTGGACTGTCTCAGGAGCCTCTTTGCACAGTCTACACCGTGGGTCTTGTCTGGTGTGGTAGATCTGGGCCTCTATTGCTCGAGTGCCCAGGGCCTGCTCCTGAGCAGCCAGGATCAGTGCCTCTGTGCTGTCCTTCAGACCAGCCCTCTCAAGCCATTGGTAGGATTTCTTGATATCAGCCACTTCAGTTATGTTCCGGTGGTACGCGCCCATGTAGGGGTTTGTCCTGCCATGATGGTCCCTCCAGCACCTCTTCCTCTGGACCCCACTGTCTGAGACATTCTCTGAGCACCTCATCTGTCGGGGCCTTGTCCTTGATGTACTCAAGGAGCTTGGATGTTTCATCCTGGACAGTGGTTCCCACACTCACTAGTTCTCGGCCCCCTTCCTTCCGGCCTGCGTACAGTCTCAGGGTGCTGGATTTGGGATGGAACCCTCCATGCATGGTCAGGAGCTTTCGTGTCTTAACATCTGTGGTCTCTATCTCCTCCTTTGGCCAGCTTACAATCCCTGCAGGGTATCTGATCACTGGCAGGGCGTAGCTGTTGATTGCCTGCACCTTGTTCTTGCCATTGAGCTGGCTTCTAAGGACTTGCCTCACTCTTTGCAGGTATTTGGCCATAGCCGCTTTCCTTGTTGCCTCTTCGAGGTTGCCATTTGCTTGTGGGATACCAAGGTACTTGTAACTGTCCTCAACGTCTGCTATTGTTCCCTCTGGGAGTGACACCCCCTCTGTGTGGACTACCTTCCCTCTCTTTGTCACCATCCTGCTACATTTCTCAAGCCCAAATGACATCCCAATGTCTGTACTGTAGATCCTTGTGGTGTGGATCAGTGAGTCGATGTCTCGCTCACTCTTAGCGTACAGCTTGATGTCATCCATGTAGAGGAGGTGACTGATGGTGGCCCCGTTTCTGAGTCGGTATCCATAGCCAGTGCGGTCGATTATTTGGCTGAGTGGGTTCAGGCCTATGCAGAACAGTAGTGGGGACAGTGAGTCTCCTTGGTATATGCCACATTTGATGGACACATGTGCAAGTGGCTTCCCCTTGGCTTCAAGGGTGGTTTTCCACAACCGCATCGAGTTCGCAATGAACGCCCTTAGAGTCCTGTTGATATTGTACAGCTTCAAGCACTCAGTGATCCATGTGTGTGGCATTGAGTCATAGGCTTTCTTGTAATCAATCCAGGCAGTGCACAGGTTGGTCTTACGGGTTCTGCAGTCGCGGGCGACTGTTCGGTCAACCAGGAGTTGGTGTTTGGCTCCCCTGGTGTTTTTGCCGATACCCTTCTGTGCTGCGCTCATGTATTGATTCATGTGCCCACTTATCTTAGCCGCAATGATGCCTGACATGAGCTTCCATGTTGTGGAGAGACAGGTTATTGGCCGATAGTTGGATGGGACTGCACCCTTTGAGGGATCCTTTTATGCTGCCAGGCGCTCGTGAAGGGCAGTGAGCTTCTTTAGCCAGTACGCATGGATCATGTCAGG